GAAACATATTTTTAAATTGCAGTTAGGTGAGAATCCTAACAAAACCCAGTGAGAAATCTAAACATAAATGTTCTTTCTGTTGAAAAAAAAAGTCCCCTTTGTGTTAGTGTTCTTGTTCTTTTCTTACCCTGAGCCATCACAGCAAATATAACAAAATGACTTTGTGTGGAACCCTGAGGACAAAAGCTTCTTTGTAGAATGAGAAAACATTAACAAAATTGCCTTCCGTTCAAAAATCAAATGTCTATGAATTGAACATTGCTTCCTTGAATTCTAACAATAACAATCCCATCAATTTCTCAATTAAAGCACTGTCACTAAGGACACACAACACGAGCAGATTTTAGTGCCCTTTCAAATAACTAATGTAGTTTTCCTGTTTAAAAAAAAAGGTGACTTCCCCTTGACCTAATAACAGCTTGATAGAACCTGGGAGTATTTGGAGCCTTTGTTTTAGTACTCAGTGTTTGGAAAACTGAGACAGAAAAACAGTACGCTAAAGACAGTTATCCGAACTTTGCTAGATTGACAGAGCTGGAATCAGAATCAGAGACGGCACCCACTGATATTTAAATTTTAAGCATACTTTCTTCTCTCCCTTTCCAACAGAATCCCAGGAGCATACTCACATCTAAGAAAGATATCAAAGCACAGCACTCACCTAAGAAAATGCTCATTTTAGAGGTATCTATGTGTGGTAGATCCAGACAAATTTTCTCTTTCTCTACATGAAACACTGGGAGTGGGGGACTCAGAAAATAACTTTAAAAAGAAAAATGATACATGGTAGTAAAATTCAGCAACAACTAAGTTAGTGGAAAAAGAGACCATGAATTGGAAGAAGAGAGAGGATGGAGGGGTATATGGAAGGGTTTGGAGGGAGGAAAGGGAAAATATTATAATTAAATTATAACCTCAAAACTTTTAAAAAGGACAATTTCACAAGGACCAGCTGCTGCACAATTCCAGGCACTTCATTGAAGATTAACTTAAACAAAACCAAACAAAAGCAACAGGTTTTTCCAAAAGAATTCTGAAGTTTCACGGGTTCTCACAGGTAAACAATATCTCCTTAAATCCCATGTGACTTGTATTTGGAGTCCAGTTAGACTAATTTTCAAACTTTCATTTTGGTTTGCTCTTATAATTGACATTCTTATTAAAGTACTAGGTACCACTGAGTAGGTCATTGTTCTAGGAGCCATTTAAAACTCCACATTCTCACGCTCTGTCCTCTGACCAATGCAAAGTTGTAGGGAATTTTCTTAACTGCAACAAATGTGCAACCAGGTTTGTAATAAAAATAAAATTCTTTAAAGAATAAAGTTTGGTTGTGAGCCTAGCCTTTGAATCCACAAGAATGACTCTAGCTAAGAATCTAATAGTGGAAAGAGTACTAAAATACCCTTTCCCTGTAATCAGATTCATGACTATCTTAATTGTAATCATAGAACCTTCATCCAGTAACTGATGGAGGCAGGTGCAGACATCCACAGCTAAGCACTGGGCTGAACTCCTGGAATCCAGCCATAGAGAGCGGGGACCACTATTGTGAACAGAAGGGCCAAGACTACGATGGGGAAACCCACAGAAACATGGAACTGGCAGCTGCGGAACCTGCTTAAGAAGAAACTAGGCCCTCTAAGTGTGGGTGACAGTTGTGTGACTTAGGTAGTTTGTGGGGCCACTAGCTGTGGAACCAGTATTTATCCCTACGGCATGTACTGGCTCTTTGGAGCCCATTCCCTCTAGAAGGATACCTTGCTCAGCCTAGATACAGGGTGAGGCCCTTGGTCCTGCCTCAAGTGATGTGAAAGCTTTTATGTCTGTCACATGGGAGGCCTCACCTCTCTGAGGAGTGGATGGGGGTATCGTGGGGAGAGTTTGGGGGTAGCAGGAAGATGGGAGGAAGAGGGAACTATGATTGCTTGTAAAAAAAAAAGATTGTTTAAAAATTAAAAAAATCAGGAGACTATAATTTTAGACATTTTGAAATAAATATTAATTTTCAAATTTAAAAAAAATAGAATGAAGTTTGAGTGTGAATTCAACCACTATTTCTGAACTACTTCAAAGTTACTGATGTAAGTGGGAGGCACTATGAGCTTTGACGCTTTTTTCTACTTTGGGGGTTTCTATTCGTCTTTTATTACAAGCTCTTCTGTCGCCAAATCACATTCAGTGCGAGGCTCTCCTGGTACTTGTCATAAAACCACCTGCCCAGAATACAGTGTCTCATCTTCCACCGTCATAGCATCATGACAGAGTTAAAGATGGATAGATTGCTTTGCAAAATGTTTTCATTTCAAAGACATGTCCACTTAATCCTATTAGTACGTTGTTCAGAAGTATAATAATAAAAAAATATTCCGGATGCATCAAGAGCACCTATACAGTGTAGGACTAAAACATGCAGTCAGCTGGTCCCACAAAGAGCCTGCACTGTTTGCGTGCTGGCTGGGGCTACCCAGAGTCGTGATACATGTGATGTATCATTAGAACATGTGTGCAAGCAAGCTCTCACCCTTCGTTAAGGTCTGACTAAATTCTACTGTGGAGAATTTTAAAATCTGGAAACCTAAGACTATATACAACGTTTGCCGAATATGTGCAGAGTGCATTCAGCACCACATCGTGTCATGCACACAGAGGACAGGGGTCTGGAAAAGAATTCTGTGGAAACTGCACCGACAAAATAAGCAATTGATACTTTCCTACCCTACTGAAGGCCTGGCGTAGTTCAAAAAACCATTATGCTTCTTTCCCACCTATGGGAACATGTGTTTAGATAGAAATCTCATTATGGCCGAAGCTGTAAGTCGTTAGCTAAAACTGTCTGAGTCATTGTCAGATCCTGGCAAAGGTTTGTAAGCCTGATACGGAAAGGCATGCATTCCATTTCAAACCCGTTTCCTGCGCCAGTGACTCTCTTACAGCTTGAGACCAGCTGTTGGCTCTGAATGCAGCTAAAGTCAGAACAATGGTTTCTGCACTCATGGTTTCTCTAATCACCCATTCAGCTTTAAAGGTATTTGTCACACTTGACTTTAACAAAGAAGAAAACACTCTAGAACCCAGTAGTCTGTGAAGTCAAGGACAAGGTCTCTTCCAAGTGCAAAAGCTAAAACAATGCCCCCAAACCTCAAATTTAAGGCTAATTTTGTAATTTCACTTCCTTTTGCCTGTGGCAGGTAGGTTATCTTAGCAGAACACAGAAATATCTGGCCCTGGAAATGTCCATTTTGAGTAATGGGAAGTAAAGGAACCATAACCCACTGTAGCTAATACACATTTCAGGAGTCCTAGAAGAAAGGGGCACATCTTGTGTGAAGAACTTTAAATGTATTTCCTGTTTTATACTTCTCCAGTATGACTGTGGTAACTCTCCTTTCTATAACTTTAGAGAGACTGGAAGATAGAAAAGCACATAAAATTGAGTATAAAAGAACAAAATATTTTTTTCTTTGATTTTTGTCACCACCTTTTGCATATTCACCTGTGTATATAGGCATATATAATGCATGTATATGCGTAGCCTAGCAATACACAAGTGACTGGCATACATTTGCAGGTCAATGCAAACAACAGCTTCCTAACTCTTGATATTAAATTTTGTGCCTACACCAACTGAAATGCATGTGCCCAGGAAGAACTCCAGGAACTCCTGGACTGATAAACAGCCTCCATGGGTTCTCAAGAGGGGTCTGCATTTCCTTTTGAGTGTTATCATCTGAGGGCCTAAATATAGACAGTGCAATATTTGTGACTTCTCTTGGTTGACAATAGGCACTTTCTCAGAAGAGGAATTTTTCCTCAAAAGACTATGACGTTCAGCCCCATAAGCCTTTTGTGAGTGGGTCTGCCTGAGCCAGGGTGGTCTATTGTTATCAACCCAACAGAAGGCCAGCAATGCAACTGTGTGCAAAAGCTTAGGGACATTTGTACCCAGAATACAGTCATAGAAAAGCAGCTATCCTTCTAGGCTGGTTATTTTGTAAGCTAACCACAACTCATCTATCACCTCTTCAAGCAACCGAAATCATGTGTCAGCATTTCTGTACCTGTATTTCATTCTTTCTAAGCCACGGAGGTGCAATTAAAACAAGTCTAATTGCTTATGTTCTTTTTAAAAAAGTATATCATTAACAGTTAAAATTCGGATATGTTTCTTTGCTAAGAGCCTTTCAGCACCCCCTTTTGAACGAGCTGTGGAAATATAAATGTAGAGCATTCATCACCTTTTGGACAATCAGCATATCTAACACACTGTTAAAAGGCTCTTATACCCTGTGGTGCAGTGTTTCTATAATAATGTACACTATATTAACAATTGAGTATTTATGGTGTTGATAATGTCAGCTCCCAAAATGACAGTTGTTCTCCAAGACGGAGGGAGCAGGGAATTCTTTCCATAAGAGCTAATGATTACTATCTAATACAATGCTAAAAAGGAGAGGTATCATTGAGTGGAAAAGCAGTACATGCACAAAACCCATAGCAGTAAGTTCTCGGTATTCGACACTGGCATCAGATGTAGGCAAAAACACAGTCATTTCAATGGAGCAAACATTGCCTGTAGGGAAAAAGAACCTAACACTAAGTTACAGAAAAATACCCTATGGCATGAGATTGTAAAATGGTCTGACAGCTTCAGAAGCTGAACTCTCCCTTGACATTAATCTATAATTTTAAATAAACAGAATAGTGAAGAAATGACAGCTCGATATACTCAGCCTGAGATCAAGTTTGTCATGGCAACATTGGCAGGTTGGACCCTGATTCTTCAAAGATTACATTGCCTTAGTTAACAAAATTCATACTTTTTTATTACAGAATAGAGATTATAAATAAATGTAAAGTGTGCATGCAGTCAACTGCATAATATACAAGCAATATCTATGTTTTGAATAATCTTCTTTGGCAGGCCAGAATCCAGCTGGACATGCAGTATGTACATATCAAAATCCATATTGTGTTCATCATATTGAAAGCAAGTGAAAATATATATGTATATACTATATATACACACGTATGTATATAGATGTATATACCATTTTTAAATATATTGACAAATATATATGTATATATATTTATATATTAAAAGTTGATTTCATCTTTGTCAGATTCAGGTGACTCAGGCCTTGACACACTAAAAATATCCTGACATGGTATTTGGGGAGGTACTTGGAGTGGCATTTGGGGTTTTGGAGAGGAGGTCTGGGGTATACTTTTCTCTGAGAGTAGTTTTAAAATCTCTGCCACCTGTTTTTCCAGGGCAGTCATTCTGCAGCTCAGCAGCTGGATGTCCTCTTTGAGTTCGTGTTTTACTTCCTGCAGTGTGGTTTGTAAGGCCTGCTCAGGGATGGGGTAAAAAGGATGCTTGGCATCTGCCTGGATAGGACTGTGTTCCAGAGGACTTCGGGCCTCGCCAGCTTTATCCAAACGAAGGTCACTTTTTGTAATCCCACTGTCACAAGAATCTGTTTTCCTTAGCGGGTTCTTGGTCACACTGTTCTCCGAGTCACTGCTTTTGGGGTCCTCTGACAATAGCCCCATCGACTCAGCCTTGGTGACATTATTCCAGTCTTCCTTTTTCTCCTCGTGAGCCCCCATGTTGTTCTTCAATCTTAGCCACCCTTTCCCATTCCCATTTTTCATTCTGATGGGGCTGTTGACTTTGAGACATTTTTGCTCAGCACCGCCATTGGGCTTCAGTTCCATGGCATCACGGTTGTTCTGCTTAAGGGACTCACTGGTTCTCACACAGGCCAGAGAAGTCTGGATGGGGGTGATCTGTGACACGGTGACCACACTCGTACCTGTGATGGAGGCTCCGTTCTGCAAAGGGCGGCTCTCTACCTGAAGCTGGCTCCTCTCAGGGTCACTTTGCACTGAGCCCTGGTTCCTCAGTTCCTTCTGCTGCTTGAACTTCTGGAAGAGCTTCCTGACTGGGTGGTCCACAGGGATGCTGAGAGTCACCTCATTCTTCTGCCGCAGCCGCTCCTCTTCCTCCTTCTTCACATCACTAATTTTACGGAAGATGATCTAGGGAATGGGAGAGATGATTAAACCATGGTTACAGAAGCAGACGACTTTATACTTGTGTGATACTGTGTTGGGTGTGCTTTGCTTAACAAAGAAAACATCTGCACACACCACACACAGAAAACATCTGCACACGAGAAAACATCTGCATGTACTGCACACAGAGAAAACATCTGCACACAACACACAGAAAACATCTGAGCACACCACACACAGAAAACATCTTCATGTATCATACACAGAAAACATCTGCACACACCACACAGAGAAAACATCTGCAAACACCACACGCAGGAAACATCTGCACACACAACACACCCCTTTCCTAAAAAAGAAGCTATTATTCAGATACCATATAACAATCCAATATACCTTAAATCTAACACAGGAACACTGACTACTCTCTTACATACAAGCGGAAAAAAAGCAGTTGACACACCCCGTAAAAGTACTTCATGGCCCCATATAAAAGCATATATACAAATATATACTAGTATGTGTGCATTTGTGTATGTACAAATATATAGTACTTCAATTTTCTCATTTGGTATGGTTTCTCCTTTTCTAACTTTGTTTCAAAACCATTTTTAATATTATCCTCAATTTATGGATAAGACAGAATTCAGGCTTTGTGAGTACTGCAAAGGTACCAAGTTTTCCAGTGACATAACCAGGTTCCATGGGAGGGGCTGGAGAGTGAGGACATTTATGTATGTGTCCACAAGTGAAGATCAAGAATCCATGAGGAAAAATTTCTAAGAAGCAAGTGTGAATTAACACACATCCTTAAAGTTGCTGCCAAGTGTACCATTCGAATCTCCTGAAAATGGTGAGAAGAAATTGTGGTGACAATATAAAAGACAATAAAAATGATTGGCTATATGAGATATCACCAGGCATATTTTCAGTTCAAAGTTAACTTAGTTTTTGTTTTTTCCCTCAGATTCCTGAAAAGCAAAGTAACCGTAGGTGGAATCTGAGAGGGAAATTAAGAAGAGCTTCACCATATAAAGCACTTTCAGAATCAAACAATTTCACAACCCAAACAAAATGACTTCTCTCTTTCACCATCCCCACGTTTGCTATCTGAGTGAAAACTCTTGTGAAGCCCATAGTCCCAACACATAACAGACCTCACTATATGGTGGTTCTCTCCCCGTGGACTCAAAACACCTCCAAATTGTAAACAATTTTATCACCTTTTAAAGGTTCCTCAGCCCCCAGGTAGAACATATAGAATCAGGTTTTATGTCAGAAAGAAACGTGAATGATGACCTGTGTCAGTAGAGAAGTCAAAAGTCATGTTGGCAGCAATCCTCCGTCTGCGCCATGCCACTTTTTCTAAAGGGAGACTGGTGCACTAATGCCAGCCTATCAAGGGGTAATAACTTGTAATTTAACATAAATAAATATTATAAATTCAATAATAACATGAAAAAGGCTACCATATGTTTTCCTCTCTGGTGGCACATGAAGTTGGGTCTTTTTAACAGATGTGACGCTAATCGCAAAGTCTCACATCAAAGCTACAGAAGTTTAGCTGGAAATCTTCCCCCAGTTTGACACACTTCTCATCCTTCCTACAGAAACAGAGCATGCCATACGCCTACAGGGCATTAACACCCTTTGGGATCAGACAGACGCCGGCAGGGAAAGCTCGACACTATTTTTATCCACTCACGTTGCTGCCATGAGCTGACAGAGGGAGCCTGGTACAAATGGCTCTCCATGTCCCTGTCTAACTCCCCCCCAGGACACTGTTTTAAATAAGTAATGACCTAGCCTAGAGCAGGGAAAGACTTAGTGTGATCCTTGACATTAGGGGAAAGAGAACTCACTTCAAATCTCAGTGGAGAGAACCTGACACACAGGCAGGGCAGACATATCACAGGACAACCGCAAAATGTGTGGGTTACACTAAACAAGTACACGTTGTTTCCCTGAGTAGGGCACACAGGGAAGTGTCTGGTTTCACATGAAGTTTTACTTTAACATAGTCTTGTATTTTTGTGACTCCACTTGGTATCCCTCTTGATAGATCATATACCTCACAGTTTATAGAGTCTCCACGCTTGGTAACTGATGATTGAGAAGTATGGGCATCTGAACTCAGAAACATTTTTTAAAAGATTGCCAGTATCATAGCTAACCATTATGCACCGTTATTATTGTGCTTCTCAAATTCAAATTCAAGATGTTGAGTGATTTAGGCTTGTAACATACCTATGAAAAATACCGATAGAAAAGACTTTTCTAGACCAAAAGCTGCTCATACTCACCCACTGAAACAAAAGGTATTCAGATTGCTAATATTAAATTGAGGACAAAGGCTCCAAATACCAAAATGCCTAGCACAAAGAGAGGCCTGGCAGAGGGCCAAACATCTTGTGTGCACCAGAAGACAAATGAAGTAGAATTGGATTAGCTTAGTATATGTAGCCACCGAGACAGTAAAAGGAATTTGGAAAGAGGAAGAACTGGAGTTTGAGATGTTGGGTAGTGGAAACCTGCCCTGCACACCACCACTGTTCTTTATCTCCCTACTGCAGAGCGGGAGGTAATGAGGCAGTAGATACATCTAGCTTCCCACGTTTGGGAGAACTTGAACATCAAGATTGGCCCTGACTTCTTGTCTGGACTTGATGGAGCAGCAGAATCCACATCCCTTCTCAAGGCTGCAATGTATGTTGGGAAGAAAAGAAAACAAAGAAAAAAAATAACAGCATGTCTCCTGCAGAGGCTGAAGGTTCAAATCTTTGCTTCCTTTGTAAGCTAGATAAGCATTGATGGGGATCAATATGGGCTCAGGACTTGGGACTTCAGCCTCTCAGAAGCCAGATATTGAGAAAGCCGTGTGAGGTAGGAAGAGACATTGCACTCTGTGGAATATCTGCTACAAAAATATTCAGACCTTTAAATAAGCCACACATAGAGGAGATGAGCAACCAAGTGAAAAGTTTCTACACCCCGATAAGCCTCTCCACCAACGCAGCAATCCAAATCAGACCAAATAAAACTGAATTAGAAAAGCCCAGGTTTAATGGGTAAAACGCTACCAGATCATTTTCCAGTCCCCAAAGAAAGACTGGGGAAAAAAAGACCAGAAACTCATGCATCTGTTTTTGTTGAGGGGGAGCAGTTTAAGTACCTTATGGGAGTGGTCTTGACAGTCTCTGGGGGAAAGATCATCATTTGGTTGGCTTTCTGAGATGCAGCAGGGTTTGGAGGGAGATGGGGGAGGGGGCTTGGGGTGGAGTTTCTACCAGACTCTTTGGGTATATGGAGCCAGGGACTGAGGTGAAGCATCCACCTGAACACCAAGCACAGCCTATTCCTTGAGTAGTGACCACAAGACTTCCAGACCTCAAACACAAGCCTGAGGTTCTGAAATAGGTGAGGCCACCTTTATCCCTTAACAGTTCAGTTTTGAGCCCCGTGAAAGCAGGCTGGGGAGAGAGGGTTATAACATTCTACACCCAAAGCATACATTTTAAACTAAAACCTAGATGCTAGCAAGGCCCATGCATTTGATCAACTGCCTAACATAATAATCTATGTACTTCAAGCCAGGACATAATTTTTTAAGTATTTAATTTGATGGCATTCACTAAATTATAAATAATTTACTATGGAACAAAAAATCAATTCAATGTAAAGGTCATCAAAAAAGTTTACCTATAGCAACATAGTCCCTCTCAAGCTTGCGTCTCCCCACTTAACTGCCATCCATTCTGTGTGAGACGGGTCCTATTAGTGTCCTGTAACAGAGGAGCAACTGCCAGCTCAGAGAAATTTAAATGGTTTGTCTTAGGCCGCATAGCTAGCAAGTGGCTAGGATTCAAATCTAAGAACTTGAACTTCATATATTCCTAACCATTCACTATTCTTACACTCAGAGAAACTTAGTGCTGCCCCTTAGACCATGGGAGATCCTTGGGTAATTGAATGGATGGGGCATGGAGAGATGCAGGCACTTCCATACCCCAAAAGTACCCTGCATCTCTCCATGCCCCATCCATTCAATTACCCAAGGATCTCCCATGGTCTAAGGGGCAGCACTAAGTTGCTCGGAGTGTAAGAATAGTGAACTACTGAGAACTCAAGAACAATGGCAGTGGGTTTTTGATCCTACTTGCACATACTGGCTTTGTGGGAACCTAGGCAATTTGGATGCTCACCTTACTAGACCTGGATGGAGGTGGGTGGTCCATGGACTTCCCACTGGGCAAGGAACCCTGATAGCTCTATGGGCTGACAAGGGAGGGGAACTTGATTGGGGGAGGGGGAGGGACATGGGAGGAGGTGGTGGGGAAGAGACAGAAATCTTTAATAAATAAATAAATGGAGCCGGGCGGTGGTGGCACACGCCTTTAATCCCAGCACTCGGGAGGCAGAGGCAGGCGGATCTCTGTGAGTTTGAGACCAGCCTGGTCTACAGAGCTAGTTCCAGGACAGGCTCCAAAGCCACAGAGAAACACTGTCTTGAAAAACCAAAAAAAAAAAATAAATAAATAAATAAAAAATAAAAAAATAAAAAATAAAAAAAATAAATAAACGGAAAAGAAAAGAATAGGAATAATATGAGGGCCTAAATATTAGAAGACATATTATGTGATAATAATCCTGAATAAACAGAATATAAGATACAAAAAAAAAGTACCCTTTATAGAAGACTGGCTGTGGAGAAACGCCCTAAAAGAATGGGATTGAAACTCTTTGCTTACTGGATCAGAGGCAGCCTTGACTAATGACGGAGAGATCTCTATGGGAGATTTGTATGATTCTTCAATGAGAGGATTTCCCCCTGATTCTCAAAGAAGGCAATAAGCTTGTTTCACTACCCTCCATCAAAATACAAGCTGCCATTGATATCTATTATTTCCCTTCTAGGCGGCCTTGTGTTTTCTCCTCCTTATATACATATCAAATGTGTTACCTTCATGTAAAACAGGGAAGGCAGGATCCAATAATGTAGTGTTCCCTGAACTCCAATATTGTCT